AAAAAAAAAAAAAAAAGGAGATTGGACCATAGCACAGTGATAAAACCTGACACTTAGTGAGATTGACCCACGTGGAATGGCTCTGGGTTCATGTCCAGAGACCTCCTTGGTATGCCAGGCACATGGATGTCCATAGTCTGACAGGCTGAGATTAGGGGTGAATCATATCATCAAAACTCTGTTAAGAGGGGGATCAGGAGTTGGCATAATGGCTATGTCGCTGGACTACCATGTGGGCAACCACAATCCGAGTCCCAGACCGGATGGCTTAGACTCATGCCGGGCACATGTGCATGCATGCCCAAGATCCCAAGAGGAGAATGGAGGAGAGGGGATTGTGGCATGGCTATCCCCCCGAGGGAGTGATTGCTTGCTTTCTGTCTCTCTGTCTCTCTCTGTCTTTCTGGCGAGTGGATGTGCCCTATAGCAAAAAACTCTCAAACAAACTCTGTTAAGGGTACTGTTTCTCTCTCTTCCATATGGAATAAATAAACCCAATAATCGTGATTATTTTTTTCTAATTATTTATTTAATTGCATTTATTATTATTACTTTTTAATTTGATCAGAGAGAGAGAGAAAAGGAGGGAAAGTGAGAAAGCAAGCCACTGGGTCCAGGACTTGAACCACAGTCGGCCATATGGGAGTTCAGTACCTTTACCACCATGCCACCTGCTGGTCCCCAGTAATTTTTTCCCCCCAGTAATTCTTAAAAAGATGAATGGATGAATGGTAGGTACTGCTAAGCCTCTCCTTCTCATCACTAGTACTTAGAAAAATTCCTTTTAAAAATTTACAAAAGCAGGGATCAGCAGTTGGCATAATGGCTATGTCACTGGACTCCTATGTAGTCGACCACAGTTTGAGTCCCAGGCCTGATAGTTTAAACTCACACCAGGCGCGTGTGTACGCATGGTCAAGATCCCGAGAGGAGAATGAAGGAGAAGTGATTGCAGCGTGGCCATCCCCCTGGGAGGTGATTTCTCACTTTCTGTCTCTCTGTCTCTCTGGCGAGTGCATGTGCCCTATAGCAAAAACCTCTCCCCCCCAAAATAAAATTTACTAAAGCAGCAAAGCCTTCAAATGCTTAGAAATAAATCTAATGAGAAATGTGTAAGACTTCTACATGGAAACTTCAAAGTATTTTTGAGAGAATTTGAAGACCTAAATGCACGTGGAGTTAAACCATCTTTTTTTTTTTGGAGAGGTTTTTGCTATAGGGCGCGTGCGCTCGCCAGACAGACAGAGAGACACATAGAGACAGAAAGCCGAGAAATCACCCCCCAGGGGGGATGGTCACGCCGCAATCCCTTCTCCTCCATTCTCCTCTCGGGATCTTGGGCACGCACGCACATGCACCCAGCGTGAGTTGTAAGCCACCGGGTCCGGGACGCGAACCGCGGTTGACTACATGGGAGTCCAGTGACATAGCCATTATGCCAACTGCTGGTTCCCGAGTTAAACCATCTTCACAAATGGAAGACCCATATTGTAATGTCTATTACCCAAATTGATCTGCAGGTCAATACAATTCCAATCAAAATCCCAGGGGGTTTGTCTGCAGAAAGTAAACTGAAGTAGATCTGACACCGCAAAGCACTGGGACCTGGACACTGTAGAGAAAGATCCAAGGGCCGCAGTGTGCCCTGTGTACAGGATTGTAAGTGGCCGTAACTGAAAGACCAAGTCTGTCAACAACAAAATCAGGATCCTAGAAAACTCACCTGGGGTGAGGAGATAAAGCACATTATCAGTTAGAACAGACTCCTGGACCCTGGGGGCGTGCTTTCCCACTTCCCTTTCTCCCTCTGTTCCTGCCTCTCCCTCCCCCCCCCCCTCATTTCTCTCTAGTAAGGACACAATCCCTGTAGTAAATTAAAAAATTAGGGACCGGCATTTGGTAGGGTGGTCAAGGGCACTGGATTCCCACATGGCCGACCGCGGTTCGAGTCCCGGACCTGGCAGCTTGCTTTCTCACTTTCTCACTCTGTCCCTCTATCATCAAAATAAAATAAATAAATGAATAAATAAATAAAGTTAAATTTTAAAAAATCTTTAAAAAATTCAAAAATAATAATGGTAATGATAAATAAAATTAAATACATAATTCTTTAAAAATAAAAACAGACTCTTAGCATGCTTGTAGTAGACACAAGAGAAAGACCACAATGGATTAAATACATTTTTATTTAAATAAGGGTGGGAGAGAGGAGTTGTCATCTTCTACAAGTGATATCGCTGGAGAGATGGCTCCCAGGCTGGGCATGTGGCTCCCTTCCGTGTGCATATAGGTGTGCAGGGCTTCCCCTGGCAAGGCCTTAGAGAGTGGACTAATACATCTCTTAGGCCACACACCCATGGGCACCAGCTTGCGCAGTGGCAAGGCACTGCGGGAGGCCCTCGACTTATCCCAAGAGAGGAGCTGGGCCTGGGCCTGGGCCTTGGGCCTTGGGGAGCTAGAGGAGACTTGAGCCTTGAAGACAGCCACTGGAGCAGACATCTGCTTCATTCCTGATGACAAGCTGGAGAGTACCCGAGAGGCCGGGCGAGAGGCTGGAGGGGGCCGGGGATGTAGTATTGCCTTTGTCCTCAGACTGCACCCACAGAGGCAGGCCTCTGAGACGTGCTGCATGGAGAAACAGATCTTGTTCCCCAGGGAGTGAGACGGCAGAGCCCCCAGGGTCGCTTTGGTCTCCCAGTTTGATCCCTTGATATACTGGATTTTCCTGAAAAAGGAAAAAAGTTTAGATCCATTGAAAAGACTCAGAAGGGGCCAGATGGTGGCATGGTGGTTAAGGCAGCTGGATCCCATAGGGCTAACTGTGTGGTTCGAGTTCCAGACCTGGCGGCTTGAAAAACACACTGGGTGTGTGCATATGTCCCCAAAATCCCAAAAGGAGAGTGGAGAAGAGACTGAGGCATGACCATCTCCGTGGGGAGTGCTGTCTCACTTTCCCTCTCTCTCTCTGTCTCTCGTCAGTGAGGACATGCACCTTCCAGCAAAATTGAAGAGAGAGACTCAGAAGAGAGGAAGAGATGTGAGGACAGAACCCCCCACTCCAGTTCCATACTCACGCTGTGTCTTTCTGAAGGAGGTGCTCTTCTTCCAGTAATGGGGACTTAGAAGCAGATTCGACCACAAGGTATCTCTTCATTTTCTTTACAAAAGAGATGAGGAAGAAATCGAAAGCTAGTGGTGGTGGGGCGTGGGGAACTGATGTTATGGATATCTGTGAGCCGGGAAAATCCTCTCTAGGGAGAGGAGCCGAGGATGAAGGACAAGGAGATGTCTAGTCCTTTCAGGCTGGAGGGTAGAACACTCCACCATCCACTTTTTCAACACAGACTCAGACTCACTTTTTACAGTCTGTACTGAGAAGGGAAATGTGAGGGAGGAGGAAAGAGGATGGATGGAAACGGGGGAGAGAATTCTCTTTTCCCACCTCTTGCAGTGTCAGTTTAAGATAGTCTACTTAGCCACATTGTTAGAGGCCCCTGTTCCCACTGTGATGTCACAGGTGGGTGTGCTCTAGTCAATTCCAAAGGTCTCTCATTGAGTCTCTGAGCTGAGGACCCCAGGTTCTCCCTGGTGCGTAAAAGGTCCTGTCTTTTCCCCTGGTTGTATAGTAGGAACTTCCATTCTAGAAACACCCTCAGCTCTTCGCACTCATTTCTAGATGCCCAGCCCTGTGGAACCTGGAATAAAGAACATGGCACCCTCCTGTCCCCTTGGGGCTCACTAGCTGGGGAGAAGCCCACACAGGACAGCAGGGTGAATACCACGCTGTTCCTCTCCACCTGGTGGGTGGAGAGCGTCGACACCAAGAGATAGTAACCATGGCCGGAAGGGCCCTGCCCTTGCTCCTCTCCCTCCCTCGAATCTTCAGACGCAGGGCGCATAGGCCAGTGATGCAGCCCACGAGGATCAGCCATCTGAGGTGGCAACAGTGATTCCAGAGAGACGAATGACAGAGACACAACACAACACCGGACATGACGTGACAGCAAGGAGGTGACAGTCGGCAAGATATAAGGGAGGAGCCAAATGAAGCCTGGGAAAGGGTGATGGTCTGGACACAAGTTGTGGAATGACAGTGTCTCCTTGGCTGGCAGACCTGGTCTCTCAATATCAGTCATGCAGGTGAGCCCGACATCATCCATGTCAGGACAAAGCACCTTGGAGTAGAAGGATGGGCCCCATCTCCTAGGAAAGGAGACATCACAGAGTCACTTCAAGTATCAGAGTTTGGGGCCGGCAGGTGGCATGGTTGTTAAGGGTGTTAGACTCCCAGGTGACCAACCATGGTTCGAGTCTCAGACCTGGCGGCTTGCTTTCTGTTTCCCTCTCTTTCTCTCCTTCTTTCACTCTGTCCCTCTCTAGTCCAGTTCAAATAAATAAATAAAGCTTAAAAAAATGTTGATGACTTGGTGGCTGAAGTCACTCCAAAAGACAGAGCCCTGGTACCTGACAGTGTGAAGAGGGAGCTCCTCCAAAGACTAAGAACATTCCTTGTTCAGCACGCCAGCCTTTAAGACTGAATTAGATTGTGTTGTTCTGTGGTTTATTCTGAAAGTAAAACTTGCCATAAGTTAGAAATCAATTTCCCAAAATAAAATCCTTTTTTGTATGATGGTATACAGTTTTCAGTAATGACGTATACATTGTATTGATTTTTTCCCCCTAAATGTGTTATTTTAATAGCTATCTCATGAATGAAACAAAAAAAAAATCAGAGTTTATGCACTGGCTAGGACTATACTTAGTCATGGTCATGTTAGCTGGCACATACCCAGCTTTTTTTAATTGATCTTTTTTTTTTTAAAGCAGTTTTAGGTGCCCAGCAAAATTGTGCAGAAAGTGCAGAGGTTCTCATCTGCCCCTACCCCCACGTGTGTACAGCCACTCTGCTAACACCTCACACCCGAGTAGTATATTTATTACAGTCCGTGAACCTACACTGACACATCATTATCGCCCAAAGTCCACCGTTTACAGGAGGGTGTACTCCCGGTGTTGGACGTTCTGTGGGTTTCAAAACACATTCGATGACATACACGTCCATCACAGTAACACACAGAATAGTTTCCCTGCCCTGTAAAGCCCTTCGTGCTCCAACTACCCAGCCCTCTTCCTACCCTAACTCCTAACAAACACTGCTTTTTATTGTCTTCCTGCTTTTACATTTATCAAGATGTCACATAGTTGGAATTATACAGTATGTAGCCTTTTCCCACTGGCTTCTTCCACTTAGTAATACATATGTAAGTTTCTCCCATGCCTTTTCTTGCCTTTTTTAATTTGCTAAAGAATAAGTACACATGTTGGAGAGACACAGAGAGAGAGAGAAGGGAAAGTGAGAAATCACTCCCCCAGGGGTGTGGCCACACCATAATCCCTTCTCCTCCATCCACCCTTCAGGCTTTGGGATATGCATGCACACACATCTCGTGTAGTTTTGAAGCCTCCAGGTCTGGGACTCAAACTGCAAAGTCGACCATGTGGGATCCAGCCACATTAACCACCATGCCACCAGCTGGTCCCCTCCATGTCTTTTCATGTCTTGATAGCTCGTTTCTTTTTAGGGCAGCATAATATGCCATTGTCTAGACGTACCACAGTTTATCCATTCACCTACTTAAAAATAAATAAACTGTGGTAGATCTTGGTTGCTTCCAAGTTTTGGCAATTAAAAATAAAGCTGCTTTCAATATCTGGGTGCAGGGTTTTGTGTGGGTGTTAGGTTTCAACTCATTTGGATAAAGAACAAGGAGTGTGATTGCCAGATCACACCATAAGAGCATAATTGGGAGTGTCACAGACTGCCAAAGTGGCTGTGCCATTCTGTGTCCACACCGGCAATGGTTGAGAGTTCCTGTTGTTCCACAGTCTTGTCAGCATTTGGTGTGACACCAGCTTTTTTTTTTTTTTTAATCTTGACCCTTTTGCCTATTATTTTTATTTATGTCTTTATTTTAAAAAGAATCAAGATTTAAAAAGGGAATACTTATTCTAATAGAAACTTGCATTTGGGAGGCAAATGCAGTGATCCATGGGTAATTTTATAAATATAAACTTTGATTAAGCACCTATAACATGCCATAAACACAAAGCAGAACTATGGAACATAGTCCTGGTATTTACTGGTCTGTCATTTAAAAAAGAGATGTAATCACCCAAAGAATTACTTCAAGGTTATAAGCTCCATGCTAAACACATGGAGAGCATCCCATCAAAACTACTTGTCAAGGGACCAGCAGTTGGCATAATGACTATGTCTCTGGACTCCCACGTAGTCGACCGTGGTTCGAGTCCCGGACCTGGTGGCTTCAACTCATGCCAGGCACTTGTGCGTGCGTGCCCAAGATCCCAAGAGCAGAATGGAGGAGAAGGGATTGTGGTGTGGCCATCCTCCCTGGGGGGTGATTTCTTGCTTTCTGTCTCTCTCTGTCTTTCTGGTGAGCACATACGCCCTATAGCAAAAACCTCTAAAAACAAAAAACAAACAAGCAAACAAAACTACTTGTCAAAGGACATAGAAGATGCCCTGTCCCAGTGGGGATGGTCACATCACAATCCCTTCTCCTCCATTTTCCTCTTGGGGTTTTGGGCACACACCCACCCACACCCAGCATGATTTTTTAAGCCACCAGGTCCAAGACCCACACCATCATCCGGCAGGTGGCAATCCAGCACCTTAACCACCACGGCACCTGCGGCGCCTCAACTTACTTTGTTTTGTTTTATTTATTATGTGAAGATAGTATGAAAATGATACACATTCAGAAGGAAGAATACTTTTCTAAAACAAAATAATTTTTTAATTTCATGTATTTTAATTATCTTAAAATTTTGCTACAGGGCAGGTACACTCACTAGAGAGAGACAGAGAGAGGGGGTGAGAGGAGTGTGAAAGCAAGTCGTTAGGTCCAGGACTTGAACCATGGTCAGCCATGTGGGAGTCTAGAGCCTCCACCATCATGCCACCTGCTGGTGCCGAAACAGTATTTGAGTGTCCATACAACCTTTCTGCTTTTGCTTTTAGCACAGTATTCAATAAATTACAGAAGGCAGTTGACACATGTCACAAAATAGGCTTTGTGCGAGCTGATTTTGCCTAACCATAAGCTCATGTAAGTGTTCTGAGCGCATTTGAAGTAGACTAGGGTAAACTAGGATATTCAGTAACTTAGGTGTATTTATTGTTTACGGTACTTTCAGTTATGATGGGTTTGTTGGGATTTGACCCCATCCTAAACTGAGGAGCATCTATAATTTCCTCAAGCTGTTGTAATAAAGTACCACAAAGGGAGTGGCTTACAGCAACAGAAGTTTATTCTCTCACACTCTGCAGGGCCAGAAATTTGAAATCCAGATGCCATGCTCCCCCAGAGGCTCTAGGGAAGAATTCTTCCGTGCCTCTCACAATGGCTGTGGTTGCCAACAATCCTCGGTGCTCCTTTGCTTATGGTAGCATAACTCCAACCTGGTGTCCATCTTTACATGGCTCCCTTCCCTCCGTGTGTCCTTGTGCTCAAATGCATATCTTTCTGTAAGGACACCAGTCGCCAGGTCGGGGCACCTCCTAATCCAGTATGACCTCACCTTCATTTGACCATATCTGCTAAGAACCTATTTCCAAATGAAGTTATTCTACAGTCATTGGTTCCCATAGACATAAATGTGGGCGGTGACGCTGTTCAACCCAGCACAGTGCTGTTATTTGACCTCACAACCTTAAAAACAACCTGCACACTTTGGACTCTCCAACATATGCACATAAGTTCAGCCCAGACTCGGACTCCTGCCTCCTACCTTTCCCACACCTCTGCACACATGCTCAGACCCGTGTGCTCTTTTATTTTTTGGAGAGGTTTCCACTATAAGGCGCGTGCGCTCGCCAGAAATACAGAAAGAGACAGAGAGACAGAAAGTGAGAAGTCACCCCCCAGGGGGGGATGGCCACGCCACAATCCCTTCTCCTCCATTCTCCTCTCGGGATCTTGGGCACGCATGCACACGCGCCCGGCGTGAGTTTAAGTCACCAGCGGTCATCTACATGGGAGTCCAGTGACACAGCGATTACACCAACTGCTGGTCCCAAGACCTGCGTGCTCTAAATGAACTCTTGTTCTGCAGCCCCGGTCCTTCCCTCTGCACAAATGGCAGCACTGCTCCATCAGTAGCTTGGGCCACACACTCTGGAAGTCTCCTTCATTCCTCTTTCTCTACACCCCAAATGAACAGATTAGCAGATTCACTCCCGTAAAGCACATTGGCTCTACTTTCAAACTACATCCAAAACCCCAACTTCTCATCAGCTCCACCCCTGACATCCTAGCCCACGCCACATCATCAAGTACAGGAGCCTCTGACCTCATCTGCCAATCTCCTCTCTGCACTGTCCCCTATCCACTGACAGTCTGAATTTAGCATTGCAAGGATCTGGACTGCTTCCGCTGGTGAGACTCACCAGAATGCGTCATTCAGCCCAAC